TTATCAATGCCACCTAGGTCTTTTTTTCTCTGCAACCAGGCTCAGTGATGCAAGGTTTCAATTGTTCATCCCAATCCAAAAAAACATTTATCAAGCACCTAAGCTAAGCAAGGCAGTGTATAAGGGTCTGTGGGGTCTGAGTGATGAATGGGAAATTGTGTGAATTTCCATCACCATCATCAATTTTAGAATATTTCAGCAACTCCAAAAGAAATCCCATACCCACTGGCTATCATTCTCCAATCTTCTCATTCCCCTTAGACCTGAGCTAACCTACTTTCTCTCTCTCTCTCTCTCTCTCTCTCTCTCTCTCTCTCTCTCTCTCCCCCAAATATATATATATATATATATATATATATATACAGAAAAACTTTGGATTGTGAGTAACGTGGTTTGTGAGTGTTCCAAAAGATGAGCAAGCATTTCTAGTACATTTTAGCTTGGTAAACAAGCAATGTCTTGCAATATGAGTAGTTTGTTTCCAGAAAGAATTATGCTTGCAAACCAAGGCATGACTGTATAAACAGCTGAAAATGAACTGGAAAAAGGTGATAGTATTTTTTTATATTGGGACTTTTTAAGTATAATGAAAGGGTTTCTTGTTTTCAAAGTGAAGAAACAAACTACTTGTATTGCAAGACATCGCTCGTTTACCACGTTAAAACATTAAAAATGTTTGCTCATCTTGCAAAACACTCACAAACCACATTACTTGCAATCCAAGGTTTTACTGTATTTGCTTATTCTGGACAGTTCAAATAAATGGAATCATATAATTTGTTTTGTGATTAGTCTTCGTATGAAACACTCCCCTCCACCCCCAGACCTGCATACTCACTACTTGCCTGACTAACTTTTTCTCATCCTTTCATTCTCAACTTAAGTGTTACTTTCTCAGATCTTGACTCTCCAGCCTAAAATTAGGTCTGTCTTTTTTCCTTTCTTCATAGCATTTGTAACTTATGTTACTTTTATAAGCCCACCATTCTTTCCTTTAGGAAACCACTATTTTAAACAGTTGTGGTGGGACTACAGGTTATAATATTTGCCTCCCCTAGCCCCTGGGACAGACATGTAATTCACAGGTGACCAATCATAGTCTTCCCGGGATCGATCTATGGTGGGTGAGAGAGAAAAGGCCTCTCTCTTCAGGATTTGGGAAGATATTAATCTGGAGCTGCCATCATCCATCTTACTCCCCCCGCCAAGCAGAGTTTGGTTAGAGAAGGAGGCTGAAGAGATAAGCAAGGCTGAGAAATGGAGAGAGTGCAATTGTGTCCTGAGTTTTCTGGACTTCCCAGCTACATGAGCTAATAAATTCTTTTCTTTTTTTAATTAAAGCTAGTTTGACTTGGGATTTTATCGGTTGCCATAACTAGTCCTAACTCATGCAGAACTTATCACAATTTTTAACAGCTTTATTGAGATATAATTCACATACCATATAATTCAGCCATTTATACCAATTAAAATTATATATTTATTTGTATAATTATTTGTTTAATGTCTCTTTCCCCATTAGTTCCATGACAGTAAAGATCACAGCTGTTTTGTTCACTGCTATATCCCAAGTGCCAAAACAGAACCTGGCTCAGAGTGCTCAGTAAATATTTTTCAATGAATAAGTGAATAAATGTATACATAAATGAATATCTACCTTGTTCTGGGTGCTTGGGATAATGAAACAAATAACCCTGGCTGCTCTCGAGGTCTAGCAAGAGAAATGGATATGTAAGTAGAAAAGTTCTGGTAAGCAATAGAGGAAAACTCAGGAAGCTGTGTAGGACAGAGATGGGTTACCTTGACCTGCCCAAATCTCACCAATTCATTAAGGTCCTCTTCAAGTGCCTCCCTAAACCCCATACTAAGAATTAATCTCACTTCCATCTATGTTCCTACATAAATTTCATAGATCTATCCTGATGTCATCATTTCCTAACTGCGTAATTATGAGAAAGTTATTTAACCTCTCTGAACTTCATTTTTCAGAGTATTGGACGTGACCTATAGTACCTACCTTGAAGGGTTATAGTGAGAATTAAATAAGTAATGCAAGGCATTTCATGCAAGGCCTGGCTCAACATGTATCACCCATTATTACCATGTTTACTCTATAATGAGGTTAAGTAGTTAGGAGCACAGGCTCTGAAGCCAGACTACTGCTTGGGTTCAAATTCTGACTGTACTTACTAGCTGTGTGACCTAAGCAAATTACTCAACTACTGTGTGCCTCAGTTTTCTCATTTGTTAAAAAAAAAAACAAAAAACTTGGAGGTAAGAAAAGTACATGTCTCAGAGGGCCCCAGAGGGATTAAATTAAATGAGTAATATTATACTTTAAGACATTTAAAATAGTGCCTGGCAAATGTAAACACCTAATAAATACTTAACCGACTCACTTTTTAAAAATCTTAGTTATCAGGGCTTGGCATGCTGGCTATCATTTTTACTAATATAAAACTATCTCACTTTTTAAAAACTTAGTCTTGTTTAACTAAGGGCTTGACATGCTAATTCTATTTTTTTTCTAATACACATCAAACTAAACACATAAAATCATCTTTCACACTTACAGTAGCATGGGTCTCTCTTCTTGGGAAACACTACTCTAGGCTCACACAATCCCATGATTCCTGGTTCCCTGAACACAATGTGTTATTTCTTGCTTTTGTCAGTGTTAACACTGCTGCTTAGAATGTCCTTGCCTTTTCCTCACTTGTCTGCTACTTGTCTTCAAGACTCAGCTTGAGCTTCATGTTCTCTGACCCCAACTGAATTAGGTGCCTCCTTTGTGCTCGCACAAATCCCCTGCACATCTCTCTGTCACAACACTGATCACTTGGGGTATCAATGTTTCTGTCCTTCAGACCAGGGAATGTATCTTAATTCACAGCACAGTACCTGGCATAGAGTACGTACTCAGGAAGTCTTAGTTGGATTGAGGTAAAATGAAGTCGCCAAATACTTAACATAATAAAAATTTAATCAAATCATATTTTTGCAGTGTTTACTTAGTGACAGGCCATATGCTAGGCACTGTGGGTACAAAGATACACAAGATGCATTGGTTGTCCTCATGGAACTTTTGGGAGATGGACAAGAAAACAAGTGCACCCAAGTGCAATGAGTACTGTGCCCACTGTGTGTATAATGTACGTTTGGTGAGGACACATAGAAAGGAGCTCTGAGGGGCCAGGAAAGGCTTCATAGAAGGTATGAAGTTTGAGCTGTTTTGGAAGCTGAGTGGGGGTTTGCTGGCTGGATGAAGGTAGGGGATGGGGCAAAGAAGAGAGCATTCCAAACAGATGGGACATAGTTGGCCCAGGGAAAGTGCTAGGAATTTTCCTGGGGAAAGCAGGTTGAAGACATATAGAGATAGCCTGAGGTCATCCAGGTGTGGTCTTCACCACATGCTTATTGTTCTGTGAACCACAAATGGGTGTAGGCACTTTCTGGACCCTGAGAAGCTCTGTGATGGGGTAAGAACAGCAAGATCCAAAATGACTTAACCTCCCTATTTATTTAACACATATAGTTCACTGATTTCTATTCCAGAACACCCTGGGGAATAGGGGAGGGGAGGAAGAAGTAGAGGACACCCCCTTACACACACATACTCATACATGTAATACACATAATACAAACATATGCAAGCAGGTACCATCTCTTCATTCTTTCATATAGGCACTCAATAAATATTTGTGGATATGAAATAAATCCAAGTATATACAACACACAATTCACATTTGTATATTATATATAGTTTACCCACCTACCAGCCCAAATATCTGTACTTCAGAAACTGTCAGAGAGTATCACTTTAAACTCCTTAGTCCTGAAAACTTACAACACCTAGGTTGTGAGAAATACTTAGGGAGACTGGCTAAAAGCTAAGCAGTACATCCATTCTTCTAGAAGAAGATTTCTCTAAGATGCTTTCACATTGGACACCAATACAGAAAAGGAAACGAAACGAAAGGAAAAGAAAAAAGAAAAAGAAAAAGCTGCTATTTTAAGCAAATGTAAGCAGGAGTCCTGTGGGGCCATCGAGACACACCTGAGGCACCTGGGTCTCAGTGGAGCACAAGGATTAAGATGCTTTACCCTTGGAAAAAGAGTATTACTGAGCTGCAAACTTAAACCACATTGTTTCATTCCTTCATACAATTACTTTTGTTGTGAGTTGTGTTTGGGTGAGGAAGCATCAGTTTACATTAAGAAAACGTGAAATACACAGCCTACAATGTTCAGAGTTGTAGTTGCAGTACAGATGTTTGATATTAAAGACATTGTCACATCAGCAGATAGAGTGTGCTCTACAGTTGCCTATGAAGAGCAGTGCTTCTCTGGAATAACGGGATTGTTTTTATCTTGAGGACCACCTCTGAACCATGTAACTGATTATATTTCCCTCTTTGCAATGGTTGCTAGGAAGCTCAAAGTCAATATTTTGGCCCAACTCTTGCACATGCCCAAGAATTTACAACATTCCAGGGGTGCCAAAAAACTGTATGCACATGACTTGTATTCACCTTTTGTTATCAGTATATATTGAGTGTTACAATTTTAATACAGCTTTTTCCTTAAAATTTGTATACATTTTTTGGCACCTTCTGTATATACTTATCTCACCTTTGGCTTCCTCTTATTTTCTTCCAACCTTTGCTTTCCCTGTGCTTCAATTTTCTCACTTATTTAGTTTTTTATTGATAAACTATGATGATTTTTATAAGATACCTCAAATCCTTTGTGGAAGGAGCTGGTAAAAAAAGAGTTCATAAACTTAAGTTTTAGTTATACATTCAATGTCACAAAATATACAAGTATCATAAATAATGAATTAGTTAGCACAAAGCCCATATGTACATCACACAAATATAAAACAATACACACAGAGCGCATTACATACATAATTCACAATCACAATACACCCTTAATGTCACACTCCCATGCATACATGCACGCACAAACACACAAACACACACGTGTTGTGTACATACCAAGCTGCTCTGCGAGAACCCGGCCCTTCTCAGTGGGAATAACCCTTTCTTCCTCCATGTCACACTTGTTCCCCACCAGGATAACCTGCGCATTGTCCCAGGAGTAGGTCTTGATTTGAGTAGCCCTAAAGAGTGACAGAGAGAGAATTCTGTAAATGACGCCTTCCTAGACCAAAAAGGACTCTTTGAAGCTTGAAGAAACCAATTCCCATCCATGGGGATAGCAACACCTAAGTTCCTGTCAATGAATTCAGCTGATATCAGACAGACAGATACCTGCCCCGACTGGCTGTCACAGATGCTGACCCCTGAGCCCTGGTTGCAAACCTCGCCTTGCTCTTTGGAGCCCTCTTCTAACGCATCTGCCTATTCCCCTCCTCACTAGGGAGAGGGCTCTTTCTAAAACATCTCTAAGACCACATCCTTTCTTAAAGCTTTCTCTACCCCCTCCACCTCCCTCACTAGCAATGCAATGAAGTTTAGATCCCTCAGTTAGGTGTTCAACACCATTCACGTCCTGTTTCTCCAACCTTATCACCCTTCCTCCTACTTTACAAACCTTCTCTCCCATTCCCCAGATGCTCTGCCATGGCTTGTACCTTATCCCTTGAGGGGAGACTTCCCCAGGCCCAGCTAGCCTCTCCCTCCTCCTCTGTGATTCATAAACCTTTACTGAGGCCTTAGATCACGATTAACTGTAGAAAGCAAAATGTCATCACATACAATGACGATGAAACTTTTAAAAAATAGTTTTCTGTAGTTTTCAAATTTTTGAAAGTAAGTATGTTTTACTTCTATAATTGGAAACAAAAATTTAACAGAGGGAATAAAATAGGACCCTTATATTGTGGAGACATCTTTTTGTGGGGATGGGCCTAACTCTGTCCCCAACAATCCCATCAGATAGAAACAATTACTTCCCCTTTTGGTCCCCTACATGTTTACTGTGGCTACTGTTACATTTGGCTGAATTTATCTGTCCTTCCTTTAAGGTCAGGGACAGGCTTATTCATCTTTGGGGTGCCAGCCCCCAGTACAGAGCACAGAGCAGAGGGATTGTCAGTGAATATCTGATGAATGAAAAAGCCAGCAAATGGTTAATTCTGAAGCAGGTCTAAAATGATGACCCTATACTGACATTGACCCTCAACCTAACTCAATCCTAATTACAACCTGAACCTGTTACCTACCCTGCTCCTAAAGCAGATCCCATCACCAACCTTCTCTTTAAGGATGAGAAGCCATTCCCTCAAAGGATGAAATTTGCTTAACCACCATTTGTTATGGATCAACTAAGAGCTAGGTTCCTTGCTGGGCACTGGGGCTTAGATGGAAAGTGGGGGCTAGGCTGGGACCAAGTTTCTCAGAGGCAAAACTCAAAGGCCAGGGCTTGGGAGAGATAGACAGTCTTCAGCCTCAGGGCAGTAACTGGTGCCAACTCCCCATGTTTCCCCATGCTACTCTTCCTGTCAGTTTCCTGCCTCCTCTCACCCCATCCACTCTCAGCTCCCAGATTAGCAACTCAGGTTATTCTTAGAGGAATCGTCACCAGGTGTTAAAGTCACTGTGTTCCTGAGGCAGAATGAACACGGATTGATGGAGAAAAGGAAGGAGGTCAAGGCCAACAAGGAAAGCACAGTGTGGAGACGCTGAAAGAGAAAGCTAATCACTCCATGGGGGAAGGAGGGGAAGGGGAGGAGGGAAGAGAAGCCACTGGAGGAAAGGGAGGGAATAAGAAAAGGAAAAAGGAGGAGAAAAAATGGAGTAAAGAGAAAAGAGAGGAAGGGAAGGAGAAACGTAGAGAGAATTTGTTAAAGGGAAGGAGGAGAAAGGAGGAAGAAGAGGATGCCCAAGAGGCTGAGAAGGAGAACACAGCCGTGAATGACAACACACGATGGCCCACTGGACTGCTGTTCAGAACAGGGGGGTGCAGCAGGCAGCATGCAAGGTCACTCTCAGCCCAAGGCTCCAAGACACCAACAGTGCTTCATACCATCATGGCATGTTCTTGGGAAAAGAGAAGTCCTCAAAGGGCAGTTGTTGGCAACAGGGAGCAGGAGAAAAGCTGGGCACTGGCCAGCTCTGCTGCTGTCTCCCTGGCCTGCTCAGCCTCTTTGATTCTGAAGAAGAGCACAGCATAGATGCTTCACCTTTCCCATCTTCATCCTTCCCACTGATTAGGGGCACAGGGTCCTGCCCCTCCTTTTCACCTGTCCTGCCCCTCATGCTTCCTTCTCCCTGTAAGTTATGATCCAGGAAGGAAGATGTAAGTTGCTCAGAGGTTGTGCCTCTGGGAAGCTGTGCTGATTTTCACTGTAAATTGAATCTTGACCTGGATGTGCTCTCAGACCCCCAGCCTGGCCCAGGGATAAACTATATAGAAAAGCAGTATGTTGACTCACTTACCACTACGTCCAGAATGATCTTTCTAACACAGTCATCTGAGCCTGTTGGTTCCCTGTTCAAATGTCATCACTAGGGGATAAAATGCAAACTCCTTACCCCAGCATACAAAATCCTTCCTGACCTCTGCTCTTCCTAGCCTCTCACCTACCTTCTCACCTTTGCACATTTGTATTCTTTTCCTGGAACATTCTCATCCATTTACCTCTCTGGTTAACTCCTGCTCATCTTACAAAATGCAGCATATATGTCAGCAACTCCAGGACAACTTCCCTGACTCCCCAAATTGGGTCAGAGCCCTTCACTGGGTTCCCACAGCCCTGCTGCCTCCCTTCATCACTGCACCTGATATTTTCATTGCCTGCTTACTGGCCTGTCCTCTTCTCTCATCTGTGAATTCCTTGAGGACAGGAGCCATGTCTGATTCATCCAGATTTCCCTAGCACACAGTACAAGGCCTAGCACACGTTAGGTTTCCTTGAACAGTTTGGTGGATGGATGAATGGATAGATGGATGGATGGATGGATGGATGGATGGATGGATGGATGGATGGATGGATAATGAATGAATCGCATACCAATCTTGGACAGCATTGAAAGACTCCTCATTGGTGATGTCATACATCAGAATGAAGCCCATGGCCCCACGATAATAGGCTGTGGTGATGGTCCGGTATCGCTCCTGCCCAGCTGTGTCCTGGGTGGGAAAAGGAAAGAGTCAGCCTCTAAGAAAGTCAGCTTTTGTTCCTAAAAAGTCCCCAGAACAATTAACTAACAATCCAAGGTATATTTAAGGACTACCTATTAAGTATCTTGTATTATACTTGGTAACTAGAATAAAATGATTTTTTTAAACTACATAGAAATTAATAAGGAAATAATTAAAATCCCAATAGAAAACTGGGCAAGAGGATGAACAATTCACAGAAGAAATGTAAATGGATATTTATTATATAAAAGGTTTTAACCTTGGGGCTGGCCGAGTGGCTCAATTGGTTAAGAGTTAGCTTAAGAGCGCATGCTCTGAGCAACAGGGCCGCTGGTTTGATTCCCACATGGGCCAGTGACGCTGCACCCAAGCTGAGCTGCCACTGAGTTGCCAACAGGTGGCAGGATGGCTCAGCTGGTGTAGCAACAAGATTGCCTATTCGATGGTGGGCTACGCCCAGCCGCAACTAAGACTGAACTGGGCACCTTGAGCTGAGCTGCCGCCCAGATGGATAGGGCGTGCACTCTTAACAACAACAAGGCTGCTGGTTCGACTCCTGCATGGAATGGTGGCTACGCCCACCCGCAACTAAGATTGAACTCGGCACCTTGAGCTTAGAGGCCATGAGCTGCCGATGGAAAGCCAGATGGCGACTGGCACCCTCCACAACGAAGATTGAAGAACAACAACTTGGCTGGTCCCCTCCCACAATTCCCCAATAAAATCTTAAAAAATATATAGGTTTTAAGGTTTTAACCTTATTTTTAATAATAATTCCCATGATAGATGAGGACGTAGTGAGATGTGCAATTTCACACTGTTCGTGGGAGTGGAACTTGGTTCAATCTTTCTAGAAATCAATTTGGAAGTCTCAAGAGCATTAAAAATATTTGTACCCTTTGACCCAGAAATTTTCCTTCTAAAAACTTGTCCTACAAAATTAGAAAATCAGACAAATACCTATGCATGAAAATGTTTCTTACCACTTTAATTAGGCAGTGTAAAAGCATCAACTTACACATTCAACAATAGGAGAATGGTTACAATATAAGAATTTTTGTGTGTTTATTTTTGTAAGAATATTTAATGACATGGGACAATGCTTGTATGTGTGATATAATGTCAGTCTTGTAACTATACATGCAGAGAAAAAAAGCGGAAAGAAACACATCAAAAGTTAATAGCTATCGGGGCCGGCCGAGTGGCGCGATGGTTAAGAACTCGCTTGGGATGCCAGAGGGCCCCGGTTCGGATCCCACATATGAGGGCCAGTGACACTGCCCTCTACAGCTAAGATGCTGAACAACAGCTCAACCTGGAGCTGGGCTGCCGAGAGTCGCTGGCGACGGCGTAGGCTGCAGTCCCTGTAGCAGTGGGTTGCCATGGGCTACCCTGTGTAGCCAGCAGCCAGCGTGAGCGGCCAGCAGCCGCAGTGAGCGGCCGTCCAGAAGCCGGCGACTGATCTGCCTCGCCAGGGAAGAGCGCAATGATGGTGCCAACTTGGGCCAGTGAAGCAGTGTCCTCCACAACTAGATTGAAGAACAAAATGACAGCAACTTGTCTGTTCCCCTTCCCCTAATTCCCCAGTACTGTTCCCATCCCCCCAATTCCCCAATAAAAAAAAATCTTTAAAAAAAAAAAAAAAAAGTTAATAGCTATCCCTGTCTGAGAGACAAGAAATACCAGGACCTTGATTTTCTTCATGTATTTTTATTTTCTCTACAATAAGCATGTATTACTCTTACATAAGGAGAAATAAATTAACATTTCTACAAAAAAAATGACTAAGACAATCCTTTATCTCAAGCAGCTCACGGTCTAGTTGGAAAGACAAACATGAAAGCAAGCGACCAAAAACAAGAGCAACAGCGAGGTGTTATTGGAGACACCAGGATGCTTCACAGGTGCCCACACAGGATTTACTGAGATACCAGCCAATCTTCTCTGCTTCATTACAGTTTTAGAATGTGTGATGCTTGCACACATATAAAATGTTTCCTCATATATTAGCTCATTTAAATTTTATGAAATCTCAGGGCCGGCTGAGTGGCACGTTGGTTAAGAGCTGGCTTGGGATGCCAGCTCTGTGCAGCAGGGCCCCGGTTCGGATCCCACATGAGGGCCAGTGACACTGCCCTCTACAGCTAAGATGGTGAACAACAGCTCAACCTGGAGCTGGGCTGCAGTGAGTCGCTGGCGATGGCGTAGGCTGCAGCCCCTGCTTCAGTGGGTTGCCATAAACTACCGTGTGTGGTCAGCAGACAGCGTGGTGGCCAGCAGACGGTGTGAGCTGCCAAGAGCCACTGTGAACAGCCGTCCAGAGGCCGGCGATCAATCTGCCTCACCCAGGAAGAGCGCAATGATATATATTGTGCTCTTATATATATTGCAATGAATAATACCAACATGGGCCAGTGAAGCAACGTCCTCCACAACTAGACTGAAGAACCAAAGATCCGCAACTTGTCTGCTCCCCTTCCCCGATTCCCCAACACTGTTCCCCTCTCCCAATTCCCCAATACAATCTCTAAAAAAAAAAAAAATTTATGAAATCTCTGCAAGCTAGGTGTCATTAGTATTTACATATTATAGTTGAGAATGCAAAAAAGCAGACAGGGTGAGTGACTTTCCCAAAGTCTCAAAGCTGGGGACAAAAGCTATGCCTTAAATCCAGGATGTCTGATCCCAAGTCCAATGCACCACTATACCTCAATCAATGAAAGATTTATCCATAATCACTGACTAAGCACCATCTATAATGATAACAAAAACAAGCATGGGAGCAATAATAATTACAGCATGCTATTATTTGTACATCTGTTGCACCTGTTATTCACAAACTTTAGAAAAATCCTATAGGGTATATATTATTACTCCATTTTACAGATGAGGAAACTGAGGTTCAGAGAGATTGCCCACTGAGTGTAAGAATTTGAATTCAACACAAGTCTGTCTGACTACTACACCTATTATAGAATACTGTATTGGCTATGAACCATACTTTGTGTGATATAAAAATGGAACAAACGCCATCCCTGCCCTCAGGAAACCTCATTAAAGCTGTAGAGGTGGCTAAGACATATGAGGTCTGACAATTAAGTTTATGAATTCGTTGCAACAATATTGCTAACCTTTTTTGATATCAGAGGAATTATTCATTATGAATTTGTACCTACTGGACAAACTGTTAACCAAGTTTACTATTTGGAAGTGCTGAAAAGGCTGCGTGAAAAAATTAGACAACCTGAACTTTTAACCAACAATTCATGGCTCTTGCATCATGACAATGCACCAGCTCACACGGCACAGTCTGTGAGGGAGTTTTTAGCCAGTAAACAAATAACTGTATTGGAACACCCTCCCCCAATGACTTCTTTCTTTACCCGAAGATAAAGAAAATATTGAAAGGAAGACATTTTGATGACATTCAGGACATTAAGGGTAATATGATGACAACTCTGATGGCCATTCCTGAAAAGAGTTCCAAAATTGCTTTGAAAGGTGGACTAGGCACTGGCATTGGTACATAGCTTCCCAAGGGGAGTACTTTGAAGGTGACCATAGTGATATTCAGCAATGAGGTATGTAGCCCTTTTTCTAGGATGAGTTTGCAAACTTAATTGTCTGATCTCATATCAAACTGATAATAAGATATGTGGTAGTATGTCATCAGTATCAGATAAGCTTCATAAAGAAAATGTGTCACACAAGGCAGGGAAGGTGTAATCATGGTAGTTTTAGGTAATTATGGAAGATATCTAAGCAGAGATAGCATATCAGTCAGGACAGACTGGGTTATTCAGTAACAAGCAATCACAATCCAAGCAGCTTAAGCAACAAGGTTTTATTTTTCACCATTGTTACATATCCATTAAGGATTGGCTGGGTGCTCTGCTTTTTGTCTTCCTTATTCCAGGATAAAGACTGATAAGAGCAGCTACCAGAAGGAAAGAAAGTGTATGAGTCATGTATTGGCTCTTAAAACTTTCACTTTCCCATTTCACTGGCTTAAGCCAGTCACATGCCCACACCCAAGAAAGTGCAATCCTATAATGCACTCTGGAGGAGAACTGGAAATGTGATAGACAGCATAATGGCTCCCACAGGTGAATCTGTACCAAGCCCAGAAGCATCACCTGAAGATGTGCTTATTTGGCAATAGAAGGAGGATGACAGGGACTTTTCTAAAGAAGAATTTTTCAAGCAGAGAAGTGAAGGAGAGGTATTTTGGCAGAAGAAAGTTTTTGCCAGTGGGTACTCCACAAGAACTCAAGGAACCATGGGAAATGGGAAATGAGTAGGCGAGGAAGCTGGAAAAAGCTTTGAATGCTGTGCTATGGGGTTTGGACTTTATCTTTTAGGATCAAAGATTTTGAGACGGGATTAGCATGATTAGATCTAAATTTTAGGAAGATCGCTGACTGTGAAGTCGAGAATGACTGGAGGAAGAAGAGATGGGAAACCGGAAGGCCAGTTAGAAGATCTTTGCAGTGGTGATAACTGATCAGGGTTTGAACTGGAGTGGTAGCAATAGGGATGGAGTAGAACCAGATGCGAGAGGTATTTCAGAGGTGAATTATAGGACATGGTGACAGGTTAGATGTGAAGAGAAGAGAAAACACAACAGTTATGTCTCCGGCAAGGCTCAGCCTCTCATGCCCTCAGCAATTCAGCTCTGACCCAGGCTTACACAATGCTACTCAGCCACAAAAAATCTGCATTTAACACCATCCTTGGAGAGCATTTGAATCACCATCTCCTGTTCATTGAGCATGGTCTTTGGGTATCTTACTCTTCACATTAAGAAGCTTATCAGAGTATTCCTTCTGACCACATATAGTACTTATCCCTAAGAGTTCTGGCAAATATAATTTTTTCCAGCTGGTGAACAAGTGAGTACATGAATGAATGAATGAATAAACTGATGAGTGAATGAGTGGGTGAACGTCTCACACTGGGAATCTTAGGCCCTACTGAGAGAAATATTC